AAATGTAGGCCATACAAATATTTCTCCCGGCCAGGCTATCGAACCTGGGACCTCTGCGTAGCACTTCGGCATGGTAACCATTCGGCCATGGAGGCAGTTAAAGGCATACTCAGATAAAACTCAATTCCAAAACACCATCGCTGAAATCAAGGCCTACTCAATCTCTATAATTTGTTTCACGCCACCAAGTATTGTCATAATGAATGTTTCTCTCGAGAGTCATTACCGTGACTAATTAAACTATTCAAACCAGTTGTCCTTAACCTAAGTGCGACAGGATAATATCGTTTTAACGTAAACATTGCTCTGTTGTTTAGTAGTATTGACTACAGGAAAAAGTAAACAGAATCTTAAGTTCAAAACCAGTACTCACTGTTCGACCATGTTAACTGTAATTGTGCCAATGCCAGACCACTACACTAATCACCTGCTCCCATACTAGGTAATAAACTAAGTAATAAGTTTGTGTAACAGATGAGGTCCTTGTGAAAGAGTTCGTCCAGGGAAGTAATGCCAGCTTACCTGTTCCTGCCCCCAAGTAGTGATGTGAGCATTAATTACTACATTCCGGTATTGATGGGTAAGCGTGCTGGTGAAATTACAGGCACAAGAGGCTTCTCAACTTATGTCTCAGATCTTTACGATTTAAAATTCTGAGTGGCATTGCAACTGTTATGGATAGGCGTGTCGCTTACCCCCAGACGCAAGACTGTTAGTCGTGTCACTTGATGTCATAAAAATAGGTTTCATCGCGATGTTTTCCTTTATCCTTAGCGAAAAAATTTTGTTATTGGTTCATCTCGTTATAAGATGATTTTAGAACATAACGTACATGGAACCGAATACTGTCGTAACTCAAAATTATGGAATTGAGAAAACACAAAAAAATAAAAATACTGAATGGATCTTATTGCACATAAAGTGATTGTTTTTATTTATACATAATACTTAAATTATCCATTTATAAACGAAAATATATATTTTTTATTTTATTCGGTTTTTTTTAAATTTTCAAATCCAAAATTTTGAGTTACCACAGGATTGGGTTTCATGTACGATATTTAATAGAGATAAATAATAATCCAACGGTTTGCACTGTGGACGCTGAATCATGAGGTCCCGGGTTCGATTTCCGGTAGGACTAGTGTAGGAAATGAACTTTTTTAAATGGGATTTGGTCTGGGTGTTTTGGATAGTACCGCAGAGTGACGGAATTCCCTACTTTGAGAACTAGTAATTGGTGTAATTGTTTTGCCCATTATTATTATAATGTACAAACTAATATAAAACACGTAATGCTGTCCTTGTCGTAAGTAACACATTTGCATTTTGGTAACTTTAGAGATATTGACACGTAAAGTTTTATTGTCACTTAAAAAATTACGCTGATTTTAAATTTGTACTGAATTGATATTCAATTATTTTTTGTGAAATTATTCGACTAGTTTGTTATAATTCTTAACACAAAGACGGAGCACTTAGAAAAAAATCCTTCGATCCTGCCGGATTCCAACTGACAGCTTAGTTCGCATAGCGCCTGGCACGGTTTGCTAAAATACGTCGTCGAATTGATCGATCTTTGTATTAATAATTATAATAAAAGTAAAACTAAATAAGATATTAAAAACCGATTAGAGAGGGTTGTTGTTTTGTTGTTTGTTTGTTAAAAACTCAATTTCCGCTAAAAATATCAATTGCGTTAATTATGATGACGAGGATAGAATAGGTTAGATTCTCGGTAGTATTTAATTAATATAATATACAGGTAAGGTAAAAAAGGCAATAAAAGCTTAAGTACTAGAAAGTAAAACTAGGATTTTTAAATTATATGAATAAAATTGGGTCCCTGCGGCAAGGTGCCCAAGATGTTGGCAGCGTTCCCCCTTTGTATTGCTATGCTAATGCGTTTGGCAAGGTAGCTGCCCACCCTTGGGTTTCCCAGACAGTCAATTAATTTTTTCGATAAAATTTTGTACAGATGAAGGATACTGGGACCCCACGGGTCAAGGGTTTCGACTCCAAAGGCTGTAAATAGGTAGTCGGAGATCCTGATACTTATTACTTTTTATTCTTTCCGCCAGCTCGGCTGCGGAGCCAGCCCTCTTGCTGGTGTGCCGGAGATGGGATGGGGCAAGTGTGTCGGAACATGTGGCGTCCCACAACAGTGCTCGGCAATATTCAACTTATCCGACAACAGAATAGGTTGAACATTATTCATAATACATGGCTACTTCCTCATACAAAGTACGGGAAACTGATCCAACACGCAGCGACGGGAGTAGACACTCCCGTTCTTCATATGACATCGGTCCGAAACTATGAAATATGATTTATACAAACAAAATAAAAGACGCATGACGCGAATTAATTTCGTCAAGCATTGTCTTTTTGACCGACTTCAAAAAAAGGAGGTTCTCAATTCGATTGTATGTTTTTTTTGTATGTATGTTACGCGATAACTCCGGTATTTGTGAACCGATTTTCATGATATTTTTTTTGTAGGAAAGTGGGTATCTCCATAGTGGTCCCATTTAATTTTGAAGAATCCACCTCTAAGGGTGGCTGTTCACGCATGAAGATTCATTCTTATAATTAGCGCCTAAATTTTATTATAAGCAGCAATTATTTTAATGGTTGATTTTGCTATTCTCCAATTCAAGGCCTTTTCTCTCTCAATATACTTTGAGAAGTGAGAACCGATTTTTATTATATTTTAGTGGCGAACTAGGGGATGGATCCGGCTTTGCGCACTACCCGGTAACTGATTTCAATAAAACATGGTAATTATAAGTAATTCCACGTACTTTTGAGGTCGGTTTTCTTAGTACTCTGTACTGAGATTATAAGTTTGTTGAATGTCAGTTTTATACTTACATTATTAAAAAAAAAAATTCGTGCTTCAGAAATAAGTTTACCAGCTAAATTGAAACGAAGTCATTACTCATACATACATGACATATAATATCCACGGAAGAAAAAGCAATGGAAGTGCCTTAGGCTCTATTACTATCAGAACCGTGAATGTGTTCTTGGCGTATTATGTTCTTATTATAACTAACGTAATCGACATTTTTACGAAATTAAGTTATTAACATTTGTAACACAATTGAATATTAGGATGTTTCACCACCGTGATATTGAATTTTTTTTTGTGAAATTATTCCACTAGTTTGTCATAATTATTAATAACAAAGATCGAACACTTAGAAAATTCATTCGATCCCATTGGATTCGAACCAGCCTCCTCAGGCAATCCGTGCCAGATGCTCTGCCAATTAAGCCACGGAACGATCCAGCAGTCCTTACGAATTTCTCTATGTGCTTATTGCAGATCTTTGTTTTTGGTTTTCAACGACTTTTTGCCGTAGCGCCACCTGTAAGAACTCTACCTTTACAGCTACCATCGATCGCTAGAGGCTAGAGATGACAGTAATTGCTTCGGATTAAGAACGGGAGTAAACTCCCAGATCCGATAGCATGCTCACGGTTGCAGCAGGCAATGTACCTGATGCTTGCTTCAGCTCTCTGATAAGATACGGTTTGTTTATGATTATGGTCATCATCATAAAGATACGTATTAGTTTGTGCTTGATGTGTACACACGAACGTAGGGGCACTAAATGGATCTATCCAGTAAAAGTCACAACAACATTCGCAACGTTACAGTATAAACTTATTGTTCTTCGTCGTAGATTAAATTGTTGCGAGTGAAACAATTTGAGTACATCTTAATTGATAAAGAAGTCACCTTTTGTTTTAACAGTAAATCAGGGATTTATTAAGCAGGATATTTGTCGTAAATATTCAATTTTGTATTATTTAACTCTGTGTAAATATCGAGTTCTTATGTTTTCGCGACTGTTATAGAAAATGAAACTTTTTGCGTACATTTGTTTTTCAAACAAACCAACGTTTCGGGCCCTTTAAAGTATTTACTACTACGCGATTTAAATCCGGAAAAGTAGTTTCATTTCCTACTGTGTAAATAATTAACTAGAACGGTGGCAGGTTGATACTCATTATTCACCGTAGGCTATTTTTTTTTGATGATAAGTGACGGGTTCGACAAGTCGTGCGCCCGATGGCACGCCTAACCATAACAATTGCAGTGCCACTTAAAGCATTAATCTTCTTGCATGCACTGTGGAAACGGAAAAACCTCTCACCACCTGGTTTCATCATACCTCAAGAGCAACTGCCACCTGGTTGCGATGGCCCGTGTGGAAGTATTTAAATCAACTTCGCACTTAAGTAGGACACTGCCGAGTCACGATGTGTAAATAGGGTTTCAGAGATGCTAGTCTAACCCAATGTGACTGTGGTGCTCCAACAAAGTCCGTGCAGCACTTGCTGTTGTGCACTTTGTGTCCTAAAACCTGTACGAGGGAAGATCTCTACGCGGCCAAAGACGGCGCAGTTAAGGTGGCAACGTACTATTCAGGGTCAATATAGTCCCAAAATAGAAGAAGTATCGACACGATAAGAGGAAGACACGCACCCGTCACACTCGTGATCGTCACCCTGAGACATAAAGTTCCACGTGCTTGTAGTTTCAATAGCACTTTTATCCTTCAAAACCGGAACGCAGTAATGAGCATATTTCTGTTTGGCAGCAGAAATAGGTATCATGGCAATACTTCCCTGGACGAACTCTTTCACAAGGAGACTCCTACTGTAATCGTTCAGTCAAAATGTTTTTCAACCGTGCGTTTCCAACTATACACTCATGAATTTTTTTGTAACCATAGAACTATGTAAGTTAATAAGTACTGGAAATGCTCAGGCGGCATATCCGGCAACACGGACAGCGATGCCGCGCAACACAAGAGCTCTGCTACTACTATCGTTACTTTCAATGTTCTTTGGTGTGGCATAAGTTCAGGCTATAAGATAATTGGTGAAGAACGGTCAAACCTTTTGGTGCTACCACGTACCAAGTTCCTGAGAACTTTGACAGTTATCATGTTCATGTATTATAAAAAGCCTTTTTCTTTGTTTAGGCGTCCATGGACCTTCCACCGGACAAGGCGAAGCTGCTCCGCAACTATGACCTGGAAAAGAAGTGGGAGATCATCTGCGACCAGGACATGGTTCAGGCCAAGGACTCCCCCGCTCACTACCTCAATAAACTGCGGACGTACCTTGATCCTAAAGCTTCCAGGAGTCATAGGGTGAGTACTGATCGAGAAAATGTTAATTTGTGTATAGAAAACATTCAATTCTATTTATTAAAAATCATTCATTGGTGTTGTAAGACTAAAATCTCAATAGTTGACCAGTAAAGCGCTATGCACTCTTAAGGATACGTCAGCCATCCTTGACGTCATATAGGCCATTACGTTACTAATGAATGTAACCTACAGTCGTGATGTAATTTACTTGCTTGCATCACAACGTAGAACATGAAATTCTGTACTATTTATGAATAACTTTTTCCGTTAAATTATAAGTTACGTAATTTCATGCCAAAGGCAACGATATGGGGTGACATTTTATTACTATCCTTTATTATAAAATTTGGTAGTACCAATTAATATGAAAAAAAAAAAAAAAATACTTTGAAGGTCTTTTGTTCGAAACAGTTTTTTTTTTGAATTAGACAGGTGCTGTTAAAGTCATTACTAGGTACTATAATCTCTTAAACTAAAAGATACAAAATGCCACCACGGGTAATTACTACTACTGGAAAAAGGATACTTGACACCGGTGTTATAAATACGCCGCAAACGTTGCAAAGCGAAACGTTTTTCGTTAAATATGGCTATGAATAGATGGCGGTGGAAGACACAAAGTATGGGAGGCTCATAACCAGCAGTTGCGTCCACGTGTATTTAAGGGGACGATACATTAATAGTTTCACTACTTTGAAGACGAAAATTAGATATAAGTGAAACGGTTATTTTTGATTGACACAGCAAATGTTTTTTTATTGAATTGATGCATATCATTACAGTAACCTTATATTTCACTACCTTACCATAAAAAATCATTACCGTGTCCAGACCTCGTTACCATACACATTTTTAAACACCAAATATCGTTTTCAATATTGCTTATGTCTTTAACTATACTACACTGTTTTAAAAATTAAAAATTTTGTGAACTAACCTTTATAATTAGCTAAATTGTAGAACCTCCTGTTATTCCATTTGTTAAGGGTAGTAAAAATGTTGCATGATTTTCCATAAGTTGTAGAATAATGGTTGGTGTGTTGTATATTTTACCTTTTGCAAAATACATGGCCGGAAATGCACTTTAATCTTAATAAAATAGCCTTGTTATCAGATTTACACGTTTTATCATTATCTATCTACTAGTCAAATAATACAATTTATTCCTACAACCCCTCAAGCTTAGGTTAACAAATCTAACCTCCATTGTTCCATAGCGCCATAACAAAAGATGGCATCTCACAGTGGCACCGAACAAATTACAACGAAGTGGTGTTTAGCCACGGGGTCTATAAAATACGGTACCGGTGCAGGGACAATGAGCCATATATTAGTACACGATCGATACTCGGAGACAATCAGCAATAAGACCAAACTAGCTTTGAAATGTGGCCACGAAAATAGCCGTAAGATGACCGCACTTTTGACGACCATACATCAGTCATAAATCATATGCAAGAAGAGCCTCTTGTGATGTCTTTTACATAACTAACGTAAACGAACGAAAGTTGCGGACGAATAACTCCCATCTTCTATCTTGTTAAATAGCTTCATGCTTAACATGAGGGAAAATATTTCTCTTGAAAGATAATATCAAGAAAAAGTCTCTGCACTTCATTCTGTATGAATTTAACTTTAGTACATAGATAATCCATGGTTTAGTGATAAACTTCATTTTTATAAGGTTTTATTTATTCCACGGTTTAAACCTAGTATTAATCCTAGTACTATATGTAGTCCGGATTTCGTAATAAGATAGACAGATAGATAGATAGATAGAACACGTTTATTGACGTTCCACAAGCACACACAGCAATAAGAAATAACAATTAAGAAAAAAAGATTAAAAAAAAACAAAACAAACAAAATAACAAAAAGGAAGGGAATCAAATAAATATACGTAATAAACAACTTATATCTGCTAATTAATCAAAATCAAGTTATAAGCTCAGTACAGGTGTTGCCCAAAAGCAACGCACTGATTTTCAGCTATCGTTTAAACCGGGAGGGTAACGCGGTGCGATGCATCAACAGCACAAAGCAATGGGTATGTCGTGCTGTATTTAACACTGAGTTTTAATGTAGTTGTGTTGACACACAACTACACTAAAACTCAGTGATAAAGTGTCAGTGCGAGCGAGCGTACGTGTGACGTGCATGAAATCTAAAAACCAAGAAACAAAATAAAAAAAATAGTAAAAAAAGTTAATAGTTATAAATTTAGTATTAAATTTAAAAATTGTTCTTGACGTCTATCCGTTCAGAGAATAAAGGAAGGTGCTTGATGAATGATTTTCCTATATGTAATAGCTCTCTTTTACTACAAAATTAGATAACCATTACGTTTTTATAACAGTTTAGTTTAATCTTTGAATGTCGACATATTAAGCTGAATGTGGTAAATTTAAAACTACCAACTCAGGCATGCTGACCTTCTTCCGACATGGTATTTACGGTCATCTGGCTATTTCGATGTTTTATAGTGCATGGTAATGACTTGTTTTTTTTTTTTTTGTATGTATGTATCCGGTTTATTTAGTTTTTAGTTGTCAAAATTTAAAAGTAAATGGATTTAACCGACTTTAAAAAAAGGAGGTTCTCAATTCGCCTATTTTTTTTTTGTGTAATTTACGCCATTACTCCGCATATTTATTAACCGATTTCGATGATTATTTTTTATTGGAAAGGGGACCTCCTAGTGGTCTCATTCAAATTTGAAGAAAATATCACCTCTAAGGGTGGCAAATTAAGTGAAGAATGCGGTTTATTGGATTTCACTCACTTCCCGTTAACAGATTCCAGTAAAACTTGGCAAATAGATATCATTCGGTCCGTTGCTGAAAATCAGCGCCTCGACACGGTTTTAAAAAATACCGATTGTGGCTTAAGCTGAGCATATCCCGATTGTACCAGCCGCGACTCGCATCACGGTGAATTACTGCATAATAATAATTCTTTATTTCGGACCATTAAAAATATCCATAGTACGTTAGTACAAGAATTTAAAAACAAGGTTAATACAGTGCAGACTTTATTTATAACTACTCTATGAATTGGGATACTGGGAGGATGGGCCCTTAGTTTGCTCTGTCCAGAATTTTACTACTAGACAGTCAAAACTTCCCAATATTGCGCTTAGAATGCTGTTGGGAATTTGCCTCACGCGATTCAACAGCGAAACAATCTTTTTCCGTATTACATACGGCATGGAAGCTGTACGTGTGAGCTTCCGCAAACATGGCCGACGCACTGCACCAATTTGGCAATCCCATCAGCACTCTAAATGCGTTGTTATATTGAACGCATAAATCATGTAAATTGTTTTAATATTCTTTTTATTTATTTTTTGTTATTATTGTTCCTCTGTTTTTTTTTTTTTTGTTTATATACGTGTCTGTGCTTGTGCAATAAACAGTTTTCTTTCTTTGATTCCACAAACTTTTAGTGTCGGTTTTTTTATAAAAATGTAATAATTATCCGAGTTTAAAATTGAACGTTAGCGTGATACATCTAGCCAATAAAATTATTCTATTTATAAGAATATCTTGATCAAGAAATAGCCTTCAGTGAGGGCGTTCGAGCTGACGTCGAAAATAGTTAATTTCATGGAAGTATTTCTACTCATCCGTAGAACAAAGCTCTATGTGCAAGATTACTTGTTCTCAGGACATAGTATATTTCGTTCTTCGCTGTGGATGTCAGATCGACCTTTGTTCGATTTTATATTTCCGAAACGAAATAAGATATATAAATTCTCAAAACACCTTTACATAGGCCTTAGTTTGAATAACGAAATTGTTCTTTTTTCGCTATATAATCGCATCGGACTTCAGATGAGTCGATTTAAATAGTATCATTCACAGATCGCATATTTCATGGCCACAAGTAATAAGAGAAGGACGCACCTCAATCTGGATTGGAGTTGCCCAGACAATCATGCGCCTTCTCGAATAGCTTTTCCTTCCGCCTGGGTCACATCATAGGGTTATAAACACTATTGGAATACTATTAAATTGTATGTCCAGTATGGTCCAAAAAAATCTCTAAAAGCATTATTTTCCTCTTTTTGTGACGATAGTTGACGCTACATGCAAAAAATAAGCCCTTGCTGTGAAGCATAAAATTTATTCAGGATTGCAGTACTATTACCTATTTATAATAATTTGTACTATTCATGATTAACCCCTTCATGGACAGTACATAAATAGTACAGCACACCGAAATGTCACTACTTTTCTTTGTGCCGTAGTATTTATTTTGATGCAATAGAATAATGGTAGAACGTGAGACAAAAAAATTACACTTTATCACTAATGCCCGGGTTACACGAGGCTAGGATAACGAGCTAGTGCTGAAGATGGTGTAAAATGATAGTTCATTGTCCAAGTATGCCATCGACTGAATATTGTTACGCTTTGCAATGAATAGCCAAACTTGTTTTATTTGAAATTTTATTTGAATGACCAATTTTTGTAAGTTCAACATACATACACTGCATTTAGAAATATGTATATTAAAAATACAAAGAGAAGACATATTTGAAAGTTTTTAATTTTATATCAATACAGATAATCAAATCCGCCTGTTATTATTAAAATGTGTAATCAATACAAAATAATTTCATGAGGAAATCATGAGAACGTCGTAACATTCAGAATTCAGACATTTTTGACAAAACTTTACCTCCTTTCACAGTCCATCGATAAAACTGTTGACTGACTATTTAACATTTTATGAAAACTGGCAAAAAAAAGACAGACTAAGCAAAGTAGTAATTCTGACTTCGTGTATACAGAACTAGCTTCATTTCTAGGCTCGTTAGCTGGTGAGGAAGTAGGATAGCGCAATAGGATGGATATTTTTTGCACCAGGATACGGGGGATATTTAGATTGCTGTCGTAGCTTGAAAAATTAACCTCGAGTATCCCGGGCATAACGACTGATTTCGTCATCATTTGACATACGGTCACAAAAGTAATAGGATGACTGCCATTGTGTCATATTGAATTAGTAGAAATTTTGTCAGTACGTTGTTGATATTTCTCTACAGAGAAGCAGTAGTGGGCAACTACGCAGAAAGCACTATAGCGAAACGTGATACCCCGTATTCTGATATTTTATTTTAGAGTAAACGCCATTACTGTCCGTGAACGGGCTAATACCTAACTTACTATCGAATTTTCACTTTACATAAAACAATCCCAATACAAGTAACATTGTAATACTGCTTTCCAGAATAGAGCCCTTGTTTGGTTTAACCGGGGTGGCCGTAGGAGCAGTCATACTGCTCGTTTCATTGATTGCTAACGGAGCAGCTGTACTGCTCGTTGCATTGGTTGTTGCCGGAGCAGCCGTAGTGCTCGTTGCATTGATTGTTGACGGAGCAACCGTAGTGCTCGTTGCATTGGTTGTTGTCGGAGCAGCCGTAGTGCTCGTCCCATTGATTGTTGACGGAGCAGCCGTATTGCTCGTTGCATTGTTTGTTGACGGAGCAGCCGTAGTGCTCGTGCCATTGTTTGTTGACCCATTATCGGTAGAGTTAATAAGTATACCGAGTTGCTTATATAATAAGGGGACAGAAGAGTCATATTGAGCTTGAAAGAAATTACCAGCCACAGGATCGCTCAGATTGTACTTATATGCAAATTGGTTTGTTGAGAAGCGCGGGCGACCTGCTGGTGACCTGAAATAACAATAGGCAGTCAACATTTTTTTATGATTGTATTTACGTAATTGGGGTGAGAGTCAGTAGGTGTTATGTAGGCTCATCGTCATTTTACATCAGGGCCTGCTAATTTTACATCATTGTAGTTGTGTGTGGATGGAGTGTCCAGTGCACGATTTTGTCCGTTTGGTATTTTGCTAAATGTTACAAGATTAGTGGCTTGTCAGTGGTTGCCATCGAGTTGCTATTCAACAGCCATTGCAATTTTTGGCTATTCTGTTCTTCAATGGTGAATCGATAGCATTTCGATGGCATAATTAACGCACAAATAACGCACACACTCAACATAGCCCCGCACTAGGGAAACCCTGTCGCGGGTGCCATGGACACATACATAGACAAACACAAATTACACCCAAACTCACGATAGAAATAAATGTAGGCCATACAAATATTTCTCCCGGCCCGGGAATCGAACCTAGGACCTCTGCGTGGCAGTCCGGCATGGTAACCGTTCGGCCACGGAGGCAGTTATTAATTGCAGATTATGTGACTGTTACATAATAAAAGGCATTAAAATACGAGTGTGGGATATACGAAAACATCACACGATTGTTTTAATGCCCAATTGTGTACAATTACATACACTGCTTTATCTATACACATATTATAAGCACTCTATGATGTGTTCAGTATGTTACGACTGGCGAAATGGCGGCAAATAAAAACTTTTGTCACGCATGTCACACAACCGTAGTTTTTATTTAAATCATAGACAAACTAGAGTCCGCCCCAACTATCATATCGTTCGATATGAAGTAACGTGTGAAATTTATCAAAATTTTTTGCTATTGACCATTGACCTACCAATAAATGGACGTCGGGTTCGCGCTAAAAAGTGTCCGCACCTGTAAGGCGTTAATATCGCATACAGAGCGTCAATCGCGCAATAGTCTTCGTTTGTTCGAGTGACAGCGCGGTTGTCAATCATGCAGTACCAATATATGCAGTACAAATAATAACTTGTTAAAATTGCTGCAGTAAAGTGTGAAAACAGGATTTTGTATCATATTTTCAATAAAGAAATATATTTTGTTATTATAGTTGTCATTTAAAAGTGTTATTTTGTACAGTTTTATAGTATTTAATGTATATATAACTGAATCGTAAATATAAATTACAAAAGCACACGAAATAATGAAATAGCTAACTGTCCTTTTTCTACTCATGGCATGCGCAAAAGATGGAAAGAGACCCATTACGTCAGTTTCAAGAAGCTTATATAAACTTCTTGGTAATTTTCAATTATTCGAACCACAAGCGATTGAAATATTTAGAACAAAGAAACCGTAGAGTTGCTTTGATTTTAATCCTATTTTTAAAATGATTTTTTTATTAAACGTTAGCAATAATTAACAAAATATTGTTGTACTCGTTTTACGGCTTGGGATTACCTATCAGAAGTCAGAAAATACATTTGCCCGAAATAACATTAGCTCGAATTTTCATAATGTGTTTTTACGAAGATTACAAAACAAAAGCTAATTTTGTCTATGTAAAAAGCATCAAAATTACTCGAAAGCGTAACGGTTTTGTTATAAATCGGAATTACGGATATTTGAGTTTACGTTTAGTTAGAATATGGGTACATTTCTTATGGTTCACGCTTATTTTCACGTTTGTAGTAATAATTGTATGTATGTATCTGCCCAACTCTAAAAATTTGTACAAAATTCGACATAATAATATATGTAAAAAAATTTATTAATATTTACGAGAAAGGCCATTCTCATTATTTTATAAAAAAAATAATTATTATTATATTAGAAATGAAATTGTGTAGATATATTAAAATTTAAATTATGACAAAGAACCAGGTAACACAATTCAATTGTTGCGTATATCGCGCACAGAGAATTTTCTACGATTCCTGCACTAGGCAAAGCCTGTCTCGCACGTAATCGATGAAAACATTGTTAATGTTTTATGAATAACGCCAAACCGAAGAGAATTTTTTAAGAAATACTTTGCATTTGAAGACAACATTGCTGATGAAACCAGACAAAAATTAAGATAATGCATAATAATTTCCAAGGTAGTTTTAATAAGCAACATCGATCGTTAGTGATTGATTGAATGAATGCCATCAATACCAATCCACTGACACTCAATTGCTCAACTGCCATTATAACTAGATTTTAGCAGAATCAATAGCTTGTGTGGCCGAACGGTTAACATACTGGACTGCCATGCAAGAGGTCCCGGGTTCGATTCCCGAGCCGGGAGAGTTATTTATATGGCCTACATTTATTTATCGAGTGAGTTTAGGTGCAATTTGTGGTTGTCTATGTGTGTGTCCATGGCACCCGCGACACAAGGTGTCCCTATTGCTGGCCTATGTTGATTGCCTTATTATTATTATTACCTACGGCAAATGTGATCTGATCTGAGGACAATCAGCAGACCACCCAACTTCTCAACTCCTTACTGTAGACTTTAGTGTCCTGGTTCATTAAACTGATCTCGACGAGTTGTGGCGGTGACTTAATTGACTTTTTAGAATATACTTTGGTAGGGGAATTTTAATTTAAGTTTTATTATAATATTGCTCAGGGAAAAACACTGGTGCTCATCTGCTGGATTTATCGCCCCGCCACTATTATCACTCGACGATACTGTATCGCGCGTTATAAAGTAATCGTAAAGACGTTGGAAGGAAAAGGCAAAGACCGCGCGATTGCGCGTGCAAATATTTCTCCCGACCCGGGAATCGAACCATCGCCAACAATCAATCAACACTCGCCACCGGCAGGGAGTCTATCACACTCTGGAACCGAGTCGATCTCGTACTGTACGGTTTCAGAGGAACTTTCTCCCACGTACAATTAGGTTGTGGAATGAGCTCCCTGTCGGGGTTTTCCCGCAGGAATACAGCATGGAGTCCTTCAAAAAGGGTTTGAGAAGGGTCCTAAAGGGTTGGCAACGCGCTCGTGACGCCCCTGGTGTTGCAGGCGTTCATAGGCGACGGTGACCTCGGACCTCTGCATGGCAGTCCGGCATGGTAACCGTTCGGCCACGGAGGCAGTCAAATAAAAAATTGAAGAGATATATGTAAATAAATAAGTTCAACATTATAAATCAATATTAAGGCAATACAACTGAAAGTAATATTGTTTCCATTGCATCCGTGTAACTATTTTGAGATTGCTAAATTTGACATAAGAGCAATATTACTTTAATGTTAAAGTCGCGTCATGGTACGAACTGAATGAATGAATAGTCACAAAGCAGCCAATAAAACATCATAGTTTTAATATTCTGATAAGCTTACTTTAAGCGCGTTATGGTACTAAAAGTCAATGTAAGGTTAAAGTAATATTGTTCTAAGAGGTTGTGGTAGGACCCCAGTACGCTCCTGATCGCGTGCGATACAGTGAGTGAGTAAAGGGGGCTATTCACTACAAATTATAGGGAGAAGTTATATGTATGCTCACGTGTTATTCATTCGTAGTTCATCGAATGTCAATTTCGATGGCTGTTGGTACACCAACAGCACATATCTATGTAGACCAGATCCTTCTCCCGGCCCAGGTCCAATATACTCTGCGATGATATCACCAGCGGATACATTGGAGCCAGGAATATTGCCAACTAACCAGTGTAGCATTTGACGATCCTCTGGTGTATTGCGAGACGGTGCGTCTGCATCTGAAACAGTAATTTAAGGAATTAATTAAATGAGTTTGTGATTGATTTCATTTAGTATTTTCGTCATCCAAATGGAATTATCCACTAAGCTCCACTTAATAGGAGTCTATAGTCAAGTCAGACAATCTATTGATAAAACTATCGACAACAACTACGGAACTATTTAAAATGATATGAAAGCAGGTAACCCTACAAATGTCATTTTATTCCGTCTTCAAAAAGACAGATAATATTTTTTTCCGCGCAGCGCTTTTCTGTGAGTCCCTTAAGCTGATAAATTCTTCTTGATTCTTCTAGAATAATTTACATTTGGGTTCACAGTAATACGAGTAATTCGCGTCCCTGCCGTCGGATTAATGATGATGATATATAAGTTCTTAAACCCTTGCGTAATACCATTTTGTTCGTCGCATTTGATCTCCACCTCACCTGATGAAAAGCGGCGATAAGGTCAACGATGGAGCATGCACAACTATATAAAGCCTATTCACTCTTGCCATGAAAGGGCTAATGGAGAATTCCACTCCACCGCCGTAAACCATATAAATGTAGCATTAACAGCAACGGGAAGCGCTAAACTTCCAAGTTGCACGATGCTTTTTTGTCACCAATAATCCTTTAATCCTAAATGTTTCTTTTATTAAAATATTTTTCTTATACTGTTTTCTAATGTACAGCACAGAACAGAGGTAAGAACCTGTGAATATTAGCGTATAATACTGTCCGACAGCGGCGTTCCATGTGAGTGTAGGTTCGTTTGTCACTTGTGTAGGCGTCAGCTCGTCGCCCAAATTTACTGTTGCATTTGAATACGTTACCTGCAATTTTATTACAAAGAAAAGTTAAAAGACAAACTCTCCAATCTGTGAGCTCTGCGAGTAGTGAATGTGCTTATTACTTGTTATTGTACCCGTCATGACCAACAGAGGGGGTTGTTAAATAGAGACCTATAGATTAATAGAAGCGCCGTAGGTGCTATAAATTGTATACTGGGCAATTTCTATGCGAAACGAGAAAATAAACTGTTTTTGTTTTGTTTGTGACATTTTACTTTTTGATTTGGTTGTCTCTTTAATTTCTTTCTTTCTTTCTTTGTTTCATTGTTTTATTTTTTTAACCGACTTAAAAAAAATGAGGAGGTTCTCAATTCGACTTTTTTGTATGTATGTTACACGACAACTCCGGTCGAAATTCGTAAACCGATTTAGACAATTATTTTTTTGTTCAAAACAGGATTTGAGTATTGGTCCCATTTACATTTGAAGAAAATATCCCACCTCTAAGAGTGGCTAACTAGGGGATTAATCCGGTTTCGCGCCTTTTCCGGTAACCGATTTCAATTAAACTTGGCAAATGGATGTAGTTCTACGAACTTTTGTAGACGGTTTAATTCTATAAAAAAGTTACAATTATTTTTCTTTTGCGCTGTTATTTGTGTAAATGCGGAGATGTGCAATGATGTAAAGAAATGACGTACTTTCAGACACATGTTTAGAAGAGTTATATTATAATCCACTTTCCGAGCAGTAGGGCTTGCTGGCGATAAAGCGCGAGTTGAGCGAGAGCGACATAAAGCGCGAGATACAGCTATTCTCGCATAGAAATCACGCGCTCTATGTCGCACTTACGCAAGTCGCGCCCAATTGTGCTAGCCCACAGATGTAGTTTAAATGTATTTTAATTATTTCTTTTTTGTTTGATGAATTGACTCTCCGGCAATACCGTTTAGACTTGTACACTCTAGTGTAAGATGGTATAGTATGCATGGTGTAACGTTCTGGTATCCGCAACTCCACATAACTCCACATCTAAGCGCAAGATGAATGAAGCGTATGATGGAATTGCAAATAAAGAAAAAAAGATCATCGTATATCGATCATCGTATTATGCTTCCTATGGTACAAAGTACCACTTTAATGTACACTAGTTTCCAACATAAAAATAGGCATTAAAAAAGGTACTTGATTTTAATCATACGATTACTAAGTAACTTGTCGGCGTAGTGGCTTTGATATAATCTTTGCTGTATAAAGAGACCTAAGACGTGCTGCAGCGGCGCTGCCGCCGAGAGAGAGAGGCGAGATGAAATTTATATGACGAAATTTCAATTCTTGTACACGCGAGGACCTGTACAACGCCACTGATAATGCTGTGTCAGTCGCTGAGTAGCTACTGATCCTCACAAATATAAACGTCAGAGGCGACACGCGAAGAAGAAGAATTGAATCAATCACATGAACAAATTCATTACTTAAAATTGTTACTGCAATCATTGTGCCTGACTGGCTCAAAAGGAAACACGTGACGTTATCACCGTAAACAACATTTTAACCGACTTCAACAACGAGGAGGTTCTCAATTCGTCTGTACTTTTTTTTTTGTATATATTACGCAATTTCTCCTACATTTGTAAATCGATTTCGATGATTCTTTTTTTTTTGTTGGAGTAGAGGTGTGGCCCCATATTTTTTTTATAATATTAAGTGACGGAACGAATAAGCTGTTCTCCTGATCATAAGCTACACGCCTGTCCATAACAGTCGCAGTGCCATTCAACGCTTTAAATCGCAAAGATCTGAGGGCACTCCCATTCCTCCCGTCACCCTGAGACATAAGTTGACAAGTCCCATGTGCCTGTAATTTCACCAGCACCCTTATCCTTTAAAACCGGAACGCAGTAATGCTTACATTACTGCTTGTGCGGCAGAAATAGGCAAGGTGGCAGTACTACCCAGGACGAACTCTTTCACAAGGTGTTCTACTGCTGCAACATTCACATTCCAATTTCAAGAAAATATTCCATTTCTAAGGGTGGCAAATTAGGGGATAAATCCAGTTTATTAAATACTACGTACTTTTCATTAACCGATTCCAACAAAATTTGGCACAATTTCATGTAATTCCAATAAAAATAAAGCACAGCGAAACCAGATAAGTAACCTTTTAAGGTAGGTTTTTTTTAATAGAAAAGTTATAATTATGTTTATTTAAATATGCCTCAGGTTATAACTTACATTAAGCATTTCCCTTGGTGCCACGGGAATGACGTCACTAACCACTTTATGGCTGTCGAAAAGTGATAAGATGGTCCCATTTGCATTGCCAGATACTCCTAAGAAACTATTCACTAACATTACTATCACCGCAAATTGCCACATTTTTAATATTTTACAAACGTACGCGGTTGGCTGTACTTAAAAACAAAAGACTGATGCTATTTATTGAAGCAAGAAAAAATCCCGACTATTTCAGTTTTCACAAAAGTAATTTAACATAATATTCCAAAGTTTCGTCTCTCGAAGAAACATGACACTGTCGCGACGGTTCGTCTTTTACAGTTTAAACACTTCTTAAAATGAAAAGCATTTCACAGTACAATGGTGAGAAGTTGTCCACTAGTATGTGTGCTGAAAATTCTGCGGAAATTCGTTTTTATACTGTATGTTGTTTGAACAGCGTTAGCTGTAATTGTTTAACTGCCACGTAGCTTAGAAGCATTGTGATACTGATTTTCCTTAAGTTTTTACCGTTGGCAGAAAAATTTGTTAATTTACCGAAAATAAATTGAAATAAACTTCTCTTAGGACAGAATGGTAAATATGGCAAAGGAAATGATTTTAATATATTTGAAAATACATGTAAGGGCGCGTTCCCATTATGACGTGACGACATAATAGTCGTGCAGTTTAAAGTGTCGTGACTTGTTTATTTAAATGAAGTTATTCACATATAGTAAAACACGACTGTCGTGACAATGAGAAGAGTTAGAACGACAGTCGTCCTACGAGAAATAATATATCACGGTGAAAAAGTGACGACAGATTATTGCCGCTTGAAACGATTCTGTCGTGCAAACGTCAGAGCGGCTGCCGTGAACCGAAAAATTGTCGTCACGATGGATCTAGTAGGAACAACTAGACACGACAGTCGTTCAACGATAAAATAAACGTCTACGACATAGTCGTCATATGGGAACAGGCTAGACGCGACAGTCATCCAGCGACAAATAAAATGTTACGACATGGTGGGAACGCGCCCTAAACTCGATAATTAATTAATTATATTTAATTAATTGCTATTATGTCTACTTTACACACTATGGCTTAGCAATTAGACGGCTTTACACAGACACTCTATCGCGGGTGATACAGCAGTCGTAAAGGCGTTGGAAGGAAAAGGGAAAGACCGCGCGACTGCACTCATCAGTTACACGCGTAATCGTGCGTTCCAAGGTTGTCTTTTACACGGACGCTTTTCCGTTGTAACAAAAACGTACACGAGCAATCGCACGCGAAAGAAAGTTGGCTTAAAAAAATTGAAGCGGGTAATCGCGCACGATTGCGCGTGCAGGCTTTCCCGCTCGCAATCCTGCACCCTCCTTATCACCCGCGATAGAGTAAGGAGGCTATTGGCGTTCCAACTCACAGATTTAAGGTATATAACTAAACATAATTTTCTCCATGTTCTCGTATTTTAAATTTTTATTAATTTCATTAAATTATCAGCACAACCGTACATTGAAATCAGCCGTAGTAATCAATTACGTACGCGTGTTATAATTACAAATACTCGTTAGACTTTTGCATGGTTCTGACGAAATTATTATTCTACTATGTGCATACATAAAATATTGTATAAATAGTCATATCATTTTTTGCATTATGTGGTACAAAAAAAACGTCTTACGAGTCTATACAACCTCGAATGGCTTTGGCTGATTCCGCATGACAGTGAAAATGTTGAATCAATCGCTTTGGGAAAAATATAGTAAAATTGTGGATATACACTGCTTACTATATGGTGTGAAAACACGATTCCTAACAATTTTTTATGTTACAAAAAACACCTACTTACCCATTGACTTACAATTATACGGACGTCGGGTCCGCACTAAAAAGTGTCCGAACTTATAGGGCGTTAAAATCGTATACAGAGCGTCATTCACGCTTTAGTCTTCGTTTGTTCGACTGACAGCGAAGCAAGCAAAATTAGACAGTACTGCGATGACGTTACAATTTAAATTCAACGTTTTAGCTTTTTCATATTCCTTTACATGTCACTACGTTTAAATAGGTTGACTTGGGACATTTTTTTCGTGGTTTTTGTATTAGACCCGTCGTCCATTTATGTGTAAGTCAGTGTACTTACCTCAAAATTTTAAAAGAGAACCATTGTATTCTCTACGTTCGTTACGTACATTTTTTTTTAGTATCGACTGATCGGACATCGTCCAGAAATGTAGCAAGCTGAAGTGGCAGTGGACTGGCCACATCTGTCGCAGAACCGATGAGCGATGGACCGACGATCTGAAGAAGGTCGCGGGTAGTGGTTGGGTGCGGAAAACGGGTGATCTGGCACTATGGCGTACACTTGGAAAGGCTTATGTCCAGCAGTGGATTGCAATAGGCTGATTGATGATCAACTGATCTTAATAGAACGTGTATACTATACGATGTACGACACGCAATTCTGAAAAAAAAACCAGCGTTTCTGTCGCTCGACCCAAGCAATATGAACCGTATTAGTGCGGGAAAACACAAGACATATTAAGTATTTCCATCCAAAACGAAGTTATTTCGAAAAGAAATGTAGACGTAGAAATGCGACTCCACACAGAAAAAAAGGATTTCTACTAATAAGAAAGAGCAATTTCTCAAAATATTTGCTAATTCTGAAAACATATTTATTTAAAGTAATAAAATATTGTCATTACAAAGATACTGCTTATCTTTTTCTAATACAATTTTACTCTTAACTTTATTCTAACTTTGAGACAAATACGTTCACTTCAAGATTTTATTTCATTTCTAATCAATTAATTGGACATTACTTACATCAAGAAATTTTTTCCTCTTACATCAAATCTAAATAATCTCAAATGAATCACCAATTTCTTGGATGTATTTTAAGAAAATATTTTCTTAGACAAAAAAAAGTTATTTTGCCAATAAGAGTAATATTCTAAATTCGAGAATACATTTTTTATGGCAACATTTTGCTTTGTCATTTTCAATCATGTCGTGACATGTTGAAAACGCGCGCGCTCCGTCTCCGTGGCCGTGGTATCTGCGATTGAAGAAGCCATCCATAAATCAATAGCCAATTATTTAAAATGTGAAGCAAAGTGAACTATACTTACTTAGTTTTACTTGAAATCTTAAAAAGGTAAGGCAAGGAGAATAAAATCTTAAAAAGGAACTGATTTTTCTATTTGTTGTTTGTGGAAACAGTAATGGATTCGTTGAAAGAACTTTTGGAATCGTGGAATATACCACAAGTTGTAGTGACCAATTTTATTGGTGAGTAATTTGATGTTATTATGAATTAATTGTGTAAGTATTACATTTTTATGCGCATGATGATATTTTGTACGTAACGTTGAATGTAAGCGTAAAATGGAGGGATCTTAGACGAACTTTTCCTAGAAATAGGTATACAGTATACTTAAACATGGGATTATTTAATTTATGAGTTTTTATGTAAATAATCTCTGTTTAGAATCCCGATTTAATGTCGTCATTGTTTATTAAAAATAATGTACCTATCTACCTTTGAAATGCGTGACTTCGACAATTAGCATTTTACAATAGAAACTAACTTTTAACTGCCTCTGTGGCGGTTACCTTGCCGGACTGCCACGCAGAGGTCCCAGGTTCGATTCCTGGGCCGGGAGAAATATTTATACGGCCTACATTTATTTCTCTCGTGAGTTTGGGTGCAGTTTGTGGTTGTCTATGTGTGTGTTCATGGCACCCGCGACACAGGGTTTCCCTAGTGCGGGGTATATTCAGTGTATGTGTTATTGAGTGTGTGTGTTATTAAACTAGAAGTAAAATACATAAAAAGATATTTGATTTAATTTGACTTTATTTACAAACTTGACTACTTTTGCAGAGAATGGTATAACGATTGAACATTTCCCCAAATTAAAACTAGACAATTTGAAAGAATTATGCCCACATATGGGGACTAAACTATCTTTAGAGGAAAAGATAGGGGAGCTTATTACTGCACAGGTGAGGGACCTGTATGTTTAAGTTAAAAAATTTAGTTGAAAGTGCTTTCATACGTCAGTATGAAAGCACTTTATATATCTTAACATAGTTTGACTATAAAATACACAATATATTCTATTTTTTTAACTTTACAGGCAACGACGGATGCAGTATCTGAATCAACTGATGATCAAGTCATTATTACTCCCACCTCCAGTAAATTTGAGACAAGCACCAGTGATTGTTTATTTTTGTTAGTTTTTTACCAGTTTATTAGTTTCATTAGATGAACTACAAATGGTCGACATCTTGGAAACAACCAAAAGTGTATCTAGAAAAACATTTCCACATTTTGATTTGGAGACACTACTGCATACGTCAGCAGGTGGCAATAGTATTTTAAAATACTATGAAACATATGGTTTTCTCAATAATACCAAGAGAAACCAGTTGACTGATATAATTATAAAACATATATACACATACATTGTCAATTAGTAAGTATATACTGTATATATTGGTAAGTATATACTGTGTTCTGATTACTTTTACACTTCCCAATAATACATCATCATTTTTTTAGCCGGATAACCTATGAAGAATATAATATTATATCTGCGAAAATAATATCACTGTTTCCAAAGGAGTCAATAGGCATTTATTTTACCAAACCTATAAAAAAAAATAATTCATTTGATGGACGTTCTACAGTAGCACGAGGAAAATTGGTGGACAAAGTCCGTAACCTTCTGTATAAATATGGAGACCACACACAAGCGACAATCTGGCACTCTAGAAAATGCTCCACCGTTTAAAAGACAGTATATTCAAGGTTTGCAAGGTAATTTTTTTTTAAATAGGCTTGCAATTAAACCCACTGACTTTCACTGGGTTAAAGCAATTTATGAACCTATTTAGGTATTTGAGAGTAGGTATTCTAAGTCGCATCATTCTGGGTTTTTAATACAGGTAAATGTAACTGTAAATCCACTGTAAGTGGGCCCCATTTACAGTGGTCCAAAAATTTTTCTACATAGAGGAGTAACAACCCATTTAAAATAAACATTACTTTAGCAAAAATCAATAGCTTAAGTTATGATTTTTTTATGTACTTTCTTGAAAATTTTCTACTCTAGTCAAAAGTTTAAAACTAGTCTATTTTGAAAATTATTCCACTAAATTAATTGAAATTTGGTATTAAAGTAGTAGTAACCATGTAGCTAGCATGCAATGAACCATTTTTGTGTTTGTTCTTAGATTGCTCCGTTATTTTTTAGTCAATTCATGTTCATGAGTTTCTACAATTTTAACTCTCTAATGGTCATAATGTACACAAAAAGAAAATGTTTAAAAACATATAGAGAACTTCTGATAAATAGATAGGTTTGAGAATAATTTCATGTAAATCTGAGCTGAACCAATGTTTTCTTTTGAGAAATTAAGTTAAAATTGTTTGAATAACGACTGGTGGTGGTTTTAATGACTAGAATAGAAAATATTGAAAAAGTATGGATGGCAACGTGTCAAGTTACACATTGACGTATCTTGTTCCGTTGCACTGGAGGCGATTTTCAAATAAAAATGTGTGGTCTGATGTGCTATTGACTGTAAATAAATAATCATGAATTCTAAACTATTGAATTTTGCTGAACTAATGTTTATTTTCAATAGGTTGTTTTGTTACTATATCCTCTATCTAAAAAAAATCTATAATATTATTATTATTAGATAGGAACAGGTACTTACGTGGGATAGGCATTTGTCAGGTGATTGGAATGCAGGTAAATAATGAAAGTCTTACAAAACATTTCAATAAGGATAAAATGAAACACTAACATGATTTTTTTTAGATTTACATTTAAGAGATATACTGTTTCTCAACAATAACACCGAACCATGGGGTGAAGTAATACAAAAATGTAAACATACGTTTAAAGTTCGAAAAGAAAGTGAACACAAGAGCGTTCATGAGTTTCTACAAGACTGGAAAATATTATCAGACCAAAGAAGTGACATATTGGTATGTAATCTGTTTTCATATGTTTTACGTTTCATTTCTGAGCTAGGGTCCCTCCATCTTGACGCAGACCAATCATTTTGACAACTATGATATTTGTTTTCAGATAAACATTGACTTCGACTTGTTGTATCCAGAAAAAGGGCTGAATTTTTATTTAAATTGGAAAATATTTTTCGAAAAAATTATTGCTTTTAAACCGAACAGAGACGAAAGAATCTTGAACCTTATTGAGTCACTGAAAAATTTAGACAATGATTGTAAGTGTTCGTTTTTATTTGTATAAAGCTTGAGATAGAATTAGTAAAATAAATAATAATAATAATAAGAAAATGTTTATTTCAGTAATGCAATTAACTTTACATTAACAGTGGATGGTACCTCCTATTAAGCTTGTCAAGCGTCAGTGTCAGGAGGTACCGCTCTTCCATAGCTATAAATTCACATTTAACATTTTTAACTTAGTCTGTCTGTCCGTCAGTCCGTCTGTCCGTCGGTCCGTCGGTCCGTCTGTCCGTCGGTCCGTCCATGTGTCAGTGTGTCCGTGCGTGCGTGCGTTCGTCTGTCCGTCCGTCCGATCGATTGGATCGATTGGGCCGATCGATTGAATTGTCTGTTTGCAAATGTTGTATTTACTTTACCACAATGTCTTTCCTTCTTCTCTTCGAAATATTTAGATCTAATTTAGAGGCCTACGTTGTCTGATTAAAGTTTGAGTGGTATAGAGTTTCGCTACAGTGGCTAAATTTGATAGATAAAATTGTATAATATTATTTTCAATTGTTACAGTAACACTTCCTGCTGAGCTTAAAATACTCGCACATCTGGTGCCTCCAAAGGGAAGAATTTCAAAAAAAATTAAGTTCACTACTCAGCAATTGACTCCTTATATATTTGTGTGCCGGTATGTTTTTTTTTAATAGCCTCGCCCTAGGGAAACCCTGTGTCGCGGGTGCCATGGATATACACATAAACAATCACAAATTACACTCAAACTCACGAGATAAATAAATTTAGGCCATACAAATATTTCTCCCAACCCGGGAATCGAACCTGGGACCTCTGCGTTGGCAGTTCGGCATGCTAACCGTTTGGCCACGGAGGAAGTTATATATGTCGACTCATCCGAAGCCCGATATGATTATATAACAAAAAGAGAATAAGAACGTTACGAGAATAATTTCGTTATTCAAACTAAGGCCTGTGTAAAGGCGTTTTGACAATTTATATATCTTATTTCGTTTCGAAAATATAAAATCCAACAACAGTCGATCTGACATTTACAGCGAAGAAGAACAAACGAAATGTACTATGTCCTGAGAACAAGTAGTCTTGCACATATAGATCTTTGTTCTACGGATGAGTAGGTATATATATATAAAACTGCCTCCTGTATATAATATATGTATTTTTTGTTTTCAATATTTATGCCTCATTTATAACTTTATTCATTTATAACTCATTTTACATATATATTACTTTGTGGTAAAGATTGGCTCACAAATCTGTTGTGGATACTTATTATGTTTCATGTACTCTTAATACTATCTTAATTTCTAGAATGCTGGCGATATAGACCAAGTAATCAAAGAACAAAAACAAAAGGCGACAAGCAAGAAATTGTCTGTTCAACCCTATGTTATACTCCAGGGATTAGATACATATGTTATACTCCAGGGATAGTGTGATTGTTTAAATTATTCAGATGGGTTGTTGCAGTGCAAATTTATATAAAATAAGTAAGTTACGTAAACAAGCCCTAAGGTTTATTGAATTATGGTTTGTCACACATATATGCATATATGTAGGGACACGAATTTTATTTCTGTGAGTTGTAATTTAATTTTCTATGTTAAAGTTTTTCATGTCAATAATTCATTTTGTATTTTACTAATATTATGCCAGTATTGTATACGTGTACAAAAAATAAACGTTTTTAAATTTATTTCCTAAATAAGTATAATCTTTTTATTATTTAAGTCGTTTTGTGTCAAGTATTTTAAGCCTGCAATTTTATTTTGTTTAAATTTGTGAACAATTCTCAAAAAAATACAACCGTTTTCAAGAAGCAATAATTATAATTTGATAAAGTCGGAACGTCATAACAGCAACGCCAACGACTTCATTAAAATTAATTGTTGCGTTTTGAAGGCGGTTATATATTTTTTTTAATTATTCACAAACTATGCCCTTAGGCTCAATTTATATAGCAGCGGAACGGAATGGAAGCGAATTTTTGTAACGTTATTGTACATAGCACAATGAATTTTATGGTCAATTGTGTAACGTACATGCTCGAGAATGCTCGAGCATTCCGCGGAAGATTTTGGCTCGTATCTAGTTTGTACCGTTACACAATCGACCATAATGTTCATTATGTTATGTATAATATCGTTACAAAAATTCGCTTCCATTCCGTTCCGCCGCAATATAAATTGAGCCTTATTTTAAACAAACAAAATGACTTAAATCAAAAATACCCCACATTTTAACCCAAGACAGTAGAATCTTACATTAAGATTTACCCCATATTTTAACCCAAGACGGTAAAATCTTACATTAAGATTGTAATGGACTTATTAATAGCAGAAAGTTGCTTTGATATAACTGAACCAAAAGTCATAATTTAAGAAATTTGGTTTCAGAATGAAATCAAACTTCTCTTAAACATAGAAAACATAAATCTTCAGTTAAATAATTATCTCTCAATTTTCATTCTTTTTTTTTCAAGTCAAAATCAGAAATTTCTAATAACAAATAAATATTTTCTTGAATCTAGAGTAGCTTTATGACTTAAATAAATTAATTTGCTCTTGGATTAAATATTTCTGTCTTAGAACTAAAATACACTTTTGAGACGTTTTTTTACTATTATCAAGTAATTATTCTCTAGCGTCTATAGGGAGCGAATCGTTTTCTTGGATTTAATAAAATTGTCTTCATACAAAGAAATTTGTCTATTTTTAAGTAATCTGTTTTTACCGTGCACTGTTATAAATTGTAATATACTATAATACCTATCCACTATAAATCCAAACAAACAAAACCACGTCTCTCGTCAACGATGTTTTTCGTAAAGCCGGCCACCCGTCAGAATCTCGTTAATTTTACCCTTTTTAAAAATTTTATATTTTCAATAAAATATATTCTTAATGAAACAAAGATAACAAAATAAAATAAATTAATGGTCACCATTAACACATTCGCAATAAGATTCATTCGGTATTTTCTTTATTTTCAAATCGTGTTTTCTCAATTCCATAATTTTTGAGTTACAGCAGTATTCGGTATCATGCGAGATACTTTACACGGTTTAACCTTCGCAGGGTTCACGGTGTAGCAAATTAATTTATTTCTATTGTCATTAGTAAGTTTTTTTTAACACTTCAGAAAAAATGGAGCGCATTTCCTCTAATTAAGAAAGCAAAGAAGATAAAAAGTAAACGTAATATTAACGATGACATCATTAGGACACCAAACATTTGAACGAAAGTTTGTTAAGCATTAAACTGTTTAAAAACCTCAAATATTGTTATACCATTGGTTAACACTAAATACACTAAGTTTTTTTTATATTTATTTGATCATAATATATGGTAGAATGAGGAACATGCCGTCGGCCTTGTAGTATAGCCACAGATTATTTGGTAGTTACTACGATACACCCAGTATAAAAAACGACTATACTAGCTCTTCTTTTCTCCTTTCTAGCCGTTCTCAACCATATCGGTATAGGCCTCCATCAATTTCTGCTACTTTGTGTCTGCATATTTTTGAAGGGTTTAGGCTATATTAACTGACAAGTAATCCAGCTAACTAGGACTACGCCACCGTTGATCTCCCAGAGATTCTTCCGCTACCGGCCTTTGGATGGCACTCCTACGCTAAGTGCATCCAGAATGTTCTGGACTAGGCGTAAGCTTGGATTCCACCCCTATGGTGCGGATATTCCGAAGATTCGCACGAAGCGTTACGCTTCCACATTTATATGGCGAACGGCTATGGAGTGGAATTCCTTGCCTACAAACTTGCTTCCTGAACGTTATAACTTGGACCTTTTCAAGACGAGAGTAAATAGGCATTATTTAGGTGTGCATGCTCCATCGTCGACCTCATCGTCACTTTCCATGTGAGATGTAGGTCAAATGGACACTTACATTTGAATAAAAAAAAAGAACAGCAAACCGTCAGACGACCGACTGTTCCCTTCTGTCTTTTTCGCCTCGTTGACCATGTCTCACACTGGGGTTTGCGTTTCTGATCTGGTTGGCCAAATTAACAGGGTGAACCGCGTGTAGGTGATAGTTACTATACTAGCCGTAATAATAATAATGCGCCACACAACCATACCAATTGCCTGGTCTTAAACTAGGGAATACCCTGTACTATGAGTACCAGACGAACGGAATTCTCCCAGTGACACCCCCCAGAACTTCCATAACAGAACCAAAAAGTTCGTTGTCCGAATTCCTCATGCCTCCAGACCTCCACATCCAAAAGCCCACAGCGCAAACCGAGATCTTCCAATTATTGTAAAATGTGTCAATTCGAACAGAGATGATGGGGCCAAAAGGGTCCTCGAGTGGGAGCCGCGTACCAGAAGAAGCAGCGTCTTCAGACCACCCACAAAGTGAACCAAAGACTTGGTGAAAGTGGCAGGAATACGCTGGATGGAAGCAGCATAATACCGACCCTTATGGCGTTCTTTTAGGGAGGCCTATGTTTGACTGTCGATGTCTTTTGGCTGAAATGATATTGACACCAATTCACACACCCTTGATTCAAAAAGGCTACATCTGCAAAACGACAACTTTTCGTTTAATTAGTCGATAACTTTTTGTGCTTAAATAGGAAAGTTTTAATTTGAGCTAATTTTTATCGGCCGCAAAACACGCTTATATGGCGGCCAGAAAAATGGCGAAAAACTAATGTTGATCACAAATTATTATCAAGTCCTAGAGCCACCCACATGCCAATTTTCAAAAGGATCAGAGCAAATTTTTTTCTGCCGCCAACGAACGCTTCTTGGCGGCCATACTGAAAATGGCGAAAGTGTCCTTAGTTTTCAATGCGTTCCAGGATAAAATAGTTTAATCGCCTATTAATGAGGCCAAGAAGAATAAATTAGTTATGGAACGACGTCAGTGGCATTGTGCGACTGAAAAAAATGGAATTAGAAGAAAAATTGGCCTTTTTCTTCAAATGAAATTTTTTTCAATCCCGCAAATACTGCGGATCCTGCAGGTGTAATCCCGCACTTCAGATCCCGCAAAATTGGTAGGAATTTTCTGTTTTTACCAGTTTTGCTTTAGTGTAAAGGAATTAACTCTGAGTTTACAAATAAACGAAAGTTGATCTATTACATTCACAACACTATTTCCCGGTCGGTACTGTTTTACTAGAAATCTTAATGATTTCTAATCAACCACATTCAATACTTTGTGGTTACAATTACACAATGCAGGCCACTCTAGATCACAATTTCCTTCATATACGGACATACTTTCGTGTTCCACCAGGCAAAGTCAATCGCACCTGGGAGAATCACCACACTTACATACTCGTTGAATAGTTGAATCTGTGAAAGCCCTTAAATTACGATAATATAATACATATATATTGTTGAGTGTGTTTTTCTAATAATCAAAAAAATAAGATTTTATTTTCATTGGAATTACATATATGCGCCAAGTTTTATTGAAATCGGTTAACGAAAAGTGAATGAAATTCAATAAACCGGTTTCGTTCCCTAATTTGCCATCCTTGGAAGGTAGTCGAGGTGGAATATTTTCTTTAGATTTCAATGGAACCACTACTAAGGTATTCCCTTTCTAACAAAAAAGAATCCTTGAAATCGGTTCACAAATATCGGAGT